ATTGAGAGCCCTCATTTGAATCCCAGCCCAGATCTACTTAAACCATGCAGCCGGATTGGTTTTCTCTAGTTTAAAACGATCTACTCTAGTTAAAGTAGATTTGGGCCGTTTGATCACAGGATCAAACAACTCAAATCAAAAGATGGGGTTCATTTCAAATTTGAACTTAAACTTTAATTGCTCATAATTTTTAAAATACTTAATCAAATTCAATAAAATTTGAAACATAAGTTTAGGTAAATCTAATATTTCAACACCTGAAATTTGATGACTTCATGTTTTGTAGATTTTATATAGTTTTAAATTAAAGTTTAAACTAAAAGATGAGATAACTTACAATTCATTGGATGAATTTTTATGTTTTTAAGCTTGTTGGAAAGCTAATGGAATCCTCTACAACTTCACTGAAGGGTTCAGGAGCTTTTGATGGGTGGAATGAAAGCTGCTATAGCGAATCTTCTCTCTCTCTCTCTCTCTCTCTATCTATCTATCTATCTCTCTCTCTCTTCTCAAATTGAGTTTTTGAGTTTGAAAACAGGTGTAGAAAAGTTTGGGGAGGCTTTTTTTATATCTAGAGAGTTTGGAGGATGAATGGGATGGGTTCAAAGCTGCTAGGAAGGGATTTTGGATGAGATAGGGTGGTGCCAAAGCTTTGAGTTAAGTGTACCATTATCCTTTCATCCTAATGATTGCATATCATTAATTGAGAGAGAGATAGAGAGAGAGAGAGAGAGAAGCCTTGGGTTGTTGCCAAGTATCCCTCCCAGCCATCTAAATGCATGGAGACATGGATTATTATGTGAATTTTAATTGCCAAGGTGGCATAGCCACCTAAGCTTATATATTTAACTTGTTTGAGCACTTTGATCAATTAAGTAGGCATGTTGACTGATGTGGTGGCCATGAGGGGAACTTGAGAAGTTGTTTGAATGGACTGGAGAGGGTTTAAGGCTAATGAAATGAAAGTTCTCATGGGTATTAACTTGATTACTTCATTTATATCTTTGTTGACTAAATTGATTAGTCAATAAATCAAATGATTTACTTGATGGCAGGTTTATAGGTGCTTAAGTCATGCAATTGAAGGGTCTTTGAGGGTTTGAAGGTTTTGAATAAATTGAATTTAATCAAGTCAAGTGATGGGTTCCAAATGGGCCAAATTTGACCAACGTGGGCTTAGTTGACCAAGTTAATTATTGATTGGGTCAAAGGTCCAATAAACTTCAAATTAGTGGGGGATGCGACCAAAAGAGTTTGAGTGGGTTTGATGTTGATTTGGGGGTTTGGTTCAAATTAGGAGAGCTTAAGGCTTGATTTGGTCAACCTAAGTTGACTTGGTTAACTAGGTTGACCTAGGGTATGGGTTTAGGCTCTATAAGGTTGAAATGATATTTTAAGTCTAATGGAGATGGTTTTAAGAATCAGAATGATCAAAATAACTATTTAGACCCTCAAATGGTTATTGGGTCTAAATGCTTATTTGGGTCAACCTTGATTAACTTGGTCAAATAGGTTGACCCAGGGTATGGGATTGGGTTTAACAGATTTGAAATGATATTTGAGAGTATTGGAGGTGGTCTAAAGGGTTTATTTGGTCAACCTAGGTTGACTTGGTCAACCAAGTTAACCCAAGGCATGGGCTTGGGTCCAACAAGTTTAGTTTGACATCTGGAATTGAATGAAAGTGGTTTTATGCAATTTGGAGGTCATTTGATTTGAAATAAATATTCAAACCCCTAAGGAATATTTTGGTCAAAGCTGGTTCACCTGGTCAACAAAGTTTAACCAAGGTTATGGATTAAATCCAATACACTCATAATAGTGATTAGGATGTATTGGAAGAGGTTTTGAGGCTTGATTTGAAAAGGTCATGTCAAAGTCTATAAAAAAACTCAAAAATTGCTCTTAAAGAGCATTTTGGTCATTTTGACCCCAAGTCAATTGGGGGTCTAAATGAATCCACCAAAATATAGTTTATTGATCAACATATCATAATCAAGGATGTAGATGTAATTATAGTCGTTGGAGAAGGCTTTAAGGCCAAATTCCACTTGATGACAAGTCTAATGTCATAGACTATAAATATTTGAAAATTTTATAGCCTTTATAAATAGATTCAATTTTTGGGGTTAGAGGTATCAAATTGAGCTCAAATTTGGAGGGTAGACCCTATAGACATATCTAATTAATATGCAATTAATATATCACGATTTAGATGTCATTTAACTATATTTGAAATATTTGAAAATTTATTAAAAAAGGATTTTAGGACTTAGGCTTTTGAACTTTGATTTTGGTCTGGATTTTAGGATTTGTTTTCTTGAATTTAAATTATCCAAATCATTGACAGTCATTTGAATGATCATAAATAATTAGATAGGATTGAAGCTAGATCAGAGACATGATCAAGATTTAAACTAGAATTGAGATCTAGATAGGTTTAAAGTCTGGATAGGTTTGAAGTCTGGACTTGATTTGATTCTAGATTAATCTAATATTTGGATTGATCTAGAGTATGGATAGATCCTAGGGTTTAAAAAGATCATAGGGTCTAGATTGATCCTAGTGACCTCATACAAAAATGGGGTCAACAATCATGTTGGTGTAAGTTCCCGGTAGGTCACCTATTCAAGAATTGCTCCGAAATGAACACGCTTAACTATGAAGTTTCTTAATGAAATTTCAATAATTACTCTAAAAGGTGTCTTGATGTTTAAGAGTTTAGCTTTCTTTTACTAAATGGTTTTCATAGTTGCGCTTCCTATGGAATCCCACAACATCGCAGAGCCACCAGTCTGAATTAGTTTATAAAATTTCAGAGAGCTCAGCCTTGCCTACCTTGGGCTGCAGGTCATGCACGTAGACCTTCGGGACTTGCTTTAGAGCATATGTATACCTACAAATGTATTCAAAATATTCATAGACAAATGTAGATGGGTTCAAATGCAAAATTTAGTAAGTTACCTTTTTTTTTTTTCAGATCAGATCAAAAGAGGTACAATAATATCCTTATTCAGTAGGTATTGCATTTAAGGAATGAAAGCTCATGGTTAGTCTTACACCATTATTACTATGACGATTGCCTACTCTTTTTGAAACTCTATGGAAAAGAGGGAGAGGGGGTTGATAATTGCGATGAATATTAAATGATGTGGATTATATAGAAATTTTAGTTTTTCTTCTTCGAGAAATGGTGATGGATGGTGGAAGAATAATATAATAAAAATGATATAGATGATGAATTATGAAATGACTTTATAACAAGCAAACTAGTCATAATTATGGAAGTATAAAATCCTCTATAAATGACCTTAATCGTCGAAGTGGATTAAAGCACTTTTTACCGTCATAACCATCATATGATAGAAAGAAATTATTTAATACAAGGAGAAAAATAACTAACATGTTCATATGATTACTTGCGAAGCAAATTTCATGAATATGACAAGGAGATCACTACATCCTCATGGAGATTGACTCCCATAAGTGCAATGGGAAAGATTCAAATTGGATGCCAAAATCACCAATCACTTTTGCATCCATTTCCAAGCATATTTAAAGGTTAATCGATTTTCCAAACTATGTTACATCATTAAAATTAAAATTATAATACTTAAAATTCAAACAATAACTAATTATGTGTATGAAATTGTTCCAAATGCTAAGAGGGGTAAATCTTTTTCATCCTTGCTAAACCTTGAATTTGAAGTGTCAATTTAATATATTTTTTTCATGCATGAACCTTCCTTCTTCACATATGAATATTTGAGGATTGAAAATGCTAATTCATATTATGCATTGTCTTAATTAATTGCTTGAAGATGAAAAGTCACTTGAATATGCTTCATGAAGCTTAGATTAAGAGTTTGTTTGGAATGCCTGTATTATTTTATAAAATTGGTTGTGAAATTGCCCTTGAAAAAAATCACTTTGGTACCATGATTGCAAAAAAATAACTTTCCATCATAGAATTTCTGAAAAATAACGAGAAAACAAAAATAGAACAACAACGAGATCAAATTGTGTATGCTGTATGAAAAATAAAGCAACAAAAAGGTATCCCAAACAGACCTTAAACATTGATTACTTGACTTTTGATCCTCTAAATCCAATTGAATGAGTTGGAACCATCCTTAGCATGATTTTGCATGGAGCTTGCATGGCTTGATTTTATAGAGCTTTTCATGACCACTTTTACATGAGCCCGTTCATTACATCACAACTTCTTAATCTTCATAATTTCAAACATAAAATTACATTCATGAAAATTAAATTATAATAATTAAAATAACATCATGATGATTATATAAATTATCACGAAGATCAGTAACCACTTAATATACTTAATCAGAGGTTAACTACAAATCCCAAATAATTAGTACGCACAAAAAAATAAAAAAAATCTCCATTAAATATTGTATATAATGTTTAGAGAGGAAAAATATGACGATTAATGGTATAAATAGGTGATCAAGTTCATATTAATAGGCCATAAATTAATGAATTTTAAAAAATAATGATCAAAGACCTCAAGGTTCAATTAAGGATGAAGATTAATTAATAAGTTATCAAGGTTCTTTAGCCATGGACTCAATAAACCAATTTATTTATTATCTTGATTAAAGATAATTTCTTAATTAGTGTTAGGATTATAACTTAGGCATATTAGAACTAATTAAAGTTTAGTAGGCTAATTATAATTTAACTATAATACTTATGAATAATTAAACATTAATTTTAATTATTAGTTTTATTTTTATCTATCATTAATAAAAAATATTTAAATATATTTATATTCTTTAACAAATTTAAAATGGAAATTTACCATAATTAGTAAGTAATTAATAATATAATATCCAATTAAACATTCCTTAATCTAATTAACACTTAATTACATTTTAGTTGGATTAAATAAAAATAGAGTTAAAAAATGACACGTGCCAATTTCTAAAACCCTATCCCTCCTCCCCTGCATTCCGGTCGTCTATATATGGAACATCTTATCCTCTCCCATAGTTTGCCTGCACAGCGTAACTCCTCTGCTCTCCGGCGCGTCGGAAATGGCGGACTCTAGCATGAGTACGGCGGATGATCGAGAAGTCGACCAGGAAACAATGGAGGAAAAGGACGAAGAAGAAGAGAAATCCTCAGGAGACGAGGCTTCTTCTTCATCGTCATCCTCGGAGTCGGAGTACGATTCTGAGTACTCCGAAGACGAGGGAGACTACTACGATGAGTATTCGTCGTCCGATGAGAAGGACAACTCACCAGAGACTAACTTACGGCGATTTTCAGAGGCCCTTGGTAACCGCACCAACCGGAAGCTGGAGGAGGAGCAGGAGAAAGACTACAGCGATCCCGAGGAGATGTTCGACTTCCCTAAGGACCCGGAGAATTGGAGGGAGGAGGATCTTAGGGAGCTTTGGGCCGACGTTCCCCTGGGGATTGGGGAGCCTGGCTGGGATCCTGTCTTTGCTGAGGAAGACGAGTGGGAGGCCATTAATCAGGCGGTTAAGGAGGGGAAGAATCCACTCATTGCACCGTTCTACGTCCCATACCGCAAGCCTTTCCCGGTGATTCCCGACGACCACCATGATATCTCTAATCCGAAGTCTGTGATAGAGGAGCTTGACCGGATTGAGGAGTTTCTCAAGTGGGTCAGCTTTGTTTTTGACGATGGAAGCACGTAAGATGTGATAAATTTCAAGCTTTTCTTTCAGTAGAGACATTCTTGTCTTGCTGCGACTCCTTCCATTGCTAAAATCATTACTAGGAGTAAACGAAGAAGTTTTGTAAGTGCAATCCTTTGATTGTTACGATGTTATGTATAGTTTGGCGACTGGAACTATGATTGGTGCTAATATTTAGCATATGTGCAAATTTGATGCTGGGCATAGGAGAAGATATCTTTTGGTACTTAACAAGAAATTATTTTTTGATATTTTTTCCCTCAACGTTAGTTGAAATTCAACACTGCCTTTGCCAGGTCCCAAGACCTGGATGAGGAAAGTGAATGGCTGAATTAGGTTGTCGACAATCAACATAAAATTGTCGAATAATCATGATATGAATCATTTAATACATTGTATTAATACTATGACATTTCCAAAAAGCGGCGTGCTGTATGGTCTGCAAGGGTCATTGCACCGGTGTTCGGCTATAAATTTGTCGCATAATCATGATATGAATCATTTAATACATTGTATTAATATTACGACATTTCCAAAAAGCGGCGCGTTGTATGACTTGCAAGGGTCATTGCATCGGTGTTTGGCTATTGTGTTAAATAAGCAAGGGTTATCACATCATGGACCGATGTGGGCAAAGAAGCTAGTCTATGAAACTAGAATTATGATATGAATTTGAAATATAGATTCTCTTATAGAAAAATTAGTGAAATTAATAAATATTATGATTCATAAAAAGATTAATATTCTATGCATTCAAGAAGCTAAATGAGTTAGAGAGAATTTTAAGGAGATTTATAGTTTTTTATTTAAGCTATGTTAATCTGGTATGAGTCGTATTAGAAATGATGTATGTGTGCTTATAAATAAGAGTTTGAAGGATATGTTATAAAAATTAATAAAATTTGAGATATAATTATAAATTTAAGGATTACTATTGATGCTAAGTTTATTAATATTATAAGTATTTATGCTTTTCAAATATGTTTGGATATGCATTCAAAGTTAAAATTTTAGAATAACTTAGAAGAAATAATACAAAAGATACCTCTTGAAGAAAGAATTTTTATTGAATTAGATTTAAATGGATATGTTGGCAGAGAGATATAATATTTTAAAAATATTTGTGATGGCTATGAGTTTGTAGTGACTAAAGAAGGTGATAGGATTATATTAGAGTTTACTTATGATTTTGTAATTACGATATATTATTTAAGAAAAGAGATTAACATTTTATCACTTATAAGAATATATAGTAAAACTTAGATTGATTATTTTCTTATTAGAAAAAGAGATCGTTTAGATAGTAATGTCATTCCAGGGAGCGGATTTTGAAATTGGTGGTGGTGGCTTGGAGGTAAAAGCAAGGGGCTATTTGAGGATTTCGCTATTGTACGCTTTAAATATATTTTCTCCCTAGGGTTTAATTTTTTTCATTATGCTTGTGTTTACTTAAATTAGGGTTTCTTAGGTTGTCAGGGCTGTAGCCCAGACTTGTCAACGGTGAATGGCGCATCACAGTGCAAAGTTCATCGTGGAGCCATGGCGTATAGCACATGACACGGCGCACACTATTTTAAAGACACAAAATAGAAAATTATTAAAAATAGTTATAATTTAGTTGTTAATGCTCATCTAAGTTTTCACAAGTTTCATGATAGAGATTGATATGGCTTACAAAATCAACCTAATTAAGAATGAATTTCTGCTTAATGTTTTAGATTAAAAAACACTTGAATTGAATTTTAGTACTTTTAAAATTATTTTAGAAGCCATTTTAAAGTTCAATTCAAGATTATAATCAATATGATGCATTTCCATAAGACAAATCCAACTAAACTAAAATCCCTTGAATTTGATCACATACTAAGAAATGCCAAAACTGATCAAATCAAACTGAGTTGGACCAGTCTTGGTCGGTCCAAGGAATGCCAACCCCCAAAGGGACGTCGAACACGATTACTTCGGCGAGCTTCAGTCTACTAAATCGAGAGGGATGTCTTCCAATCGAGCGAACAAGAAAGAAATATCGTTACCTTCCGATCGAAGGGAAGATAGCTCATTACCTTCGGTGGAAGCAGAAACAAGCATAACAGTGTAGGGAAGAAAGATCGTTACCTTAGCGGCGAACTTCCATCGTGACCTTCGGTCCAATAGGAACGCCTTTATCTAAGGAGGCAATGAAGCTTCTACACCTTTCGTGACCTAACGGCGAAGAAGAGAATAGAGCTCGTTACCTTCGACGGTGGAAGAAAGAAAAAAGAAATAGGAAGATATTTATCTTAAGCCGGAAGTAGGAACAAGGCGCATAGGCGTAGGAGAGCTTCCTTCGTGACTTCGAAACGTGCTTGTCGAAGGAGGTCCAACCAACTCCAGCAGGCCGCAAGCAAAAAAATAAAACCCTAACTAAAACTTTTATCTAATATTAAATAATTTTAAATATTATTATATTATTTAGGAATTAAAATTATATTAATATCTTAAAACTACATAACCTGAAATTTAAATTGCGCGCGCCATGCATCTTTGCGCACACATGGCATAAATGACGTGCACCAATTTGAACATGCACGCTGCAACATGCAGCTGGTGCCGTATGTGCGCCGCGCCGCAACATGCACCATTCCACGCCATTGACAAGTATGCTCTAGCCGATGGCTAGGAATTTGGAAGAGCTAGATCTTCCTCTCCAATTGAAGATCCAACTATATCTTGCTATTTTCTTTCATATTTCTTGCAATAAAAAGATTCTTGGCGTGCTCTTCCCAATTTCTCATTGAGGTTCACTGATTTGGTTGAAAGTGCATTTATTTCCTATCATCATGCCATAGGCTACCTTCTCGGCCAAGGGTATTCAAGTAGGCTGTGGCAAAGGCCTTGTTCAGGGAAGGGAAAGGGTGACTTTATTTCTTTGGATATATTTGGAGATCGAGCGTTATGACTATGCTAGGGTAGGTTTTATTAGTTTCAAGGGTAGGTTTTATTTGGAGAAGGATATGGCACTTTAGATCAGTGTGTGGGATGTTATGAAACTAATGAAGACATTTTTGTGGCTTTTAAATAAGCGGCTAATTAGCGATTTTTTATGTTTGTTACTCAAAGTAGGAAAATGTTTCTTGAAAGATTGAGTTGAAGCTTCTTGGCTATGGAATGTCAGGTTTTCTCTAGAGGAGAAGGTTGATGAACTCCGGAGCATAGATTTAGAATATTAGGAAACTAGTGTAAATGAAATAAAAATCAGATTGGAGAAGTATTCTTCCTTATTGGAAAAGCTTGGTGGCTATTCTTTTATTCTTTGGTTAGATGACTTAGAGTAACCTAAAATCTTATAAAATTAATCTTCTCAACCCTCTACTCTAAAGTCTACCATACAGTTTGCATCAAGTGGTATCTTAGTTAAACTTGGATAAGAGCAAGCTAATATTTACAATTCATTTTAAATTTAGTAGGCTGATAAAAAAATATTTGCACATTATTATTATTTGTTAATAGTGCAAAGACCTTTTTATAATTTTCTTTCATTCATTTTTATTATTGCATAAATGCTTGTAAAAATATTATTCAGGAAGTGATAGAATAATTAACTTTATGCCTAGCTGAAATAAAAACTTAAAACTTCAATATGAATTATAAATGTGATTAAAAGAGAGAAATATGATTCATAAAAAAAAAGCCTCCATTAATTGATAAAAATTTGCTTACCCATTTACCTTCACAAATGTAATCATCAAAATCACATATGCCCCCTCAACAAGTATAATCTTCTCATTCTCTTACTATCACTTAGAGTTCGTTCTTTAATGAATGTTCTTACCGAAGGTAATGAGTGCTTCATGTCCACCATACAGCTTCCTTGTGTATTGCACCAGAAGACTTGTTTCATCCAGAGATGGTGCTGGCGTTGATTATCATCGGCTTTATGCTAGCTAAAATTTATTGCTCTTCATCACCAAGGTTTAAAATAAGCAATGAAATATCCTTTGAGGCCCTCATAATTGAGTTGTTTTTTAACATCACCCAATTCTCTAAAATCTGCTTAGATTTTCTTGTGGATGGTCTGTTGCGCTTTTCTATTCTCTATGATGCATGGGCATATTATGCATGTCTCTGATTACCTTTTAAATTCTTTGTAACCAAGGAAAGCTGTTTATCCATATTTTAACATGTACAAACATGATAACTTGTGTTATCAGTTTGTTTATTACTTCTATATACACATATTAATAGTTTATTGATCCCTATCTCCCTTCCTGTTGCCCTCTCATGCCATGTCTTGGTTTCCTCCTCGTGTGCTAGTAGCTTGCACATATGTCATAGGCAAAAAGGTTCTATTTGTATTTGAGATAAACTTTGACAAAAATTTGGCTGATTTCATGTGGTTAATATGAGAATGTTTTTGATGGTTTTCCCTTTATTTTTTTGAAGATATGAAGGAACCGTTTGGGATGATTGTGCCCATGGAAAAGGCGTATATGTTGAAGAGCGAGGGCTTGTCAGGTTTGGTTATTTCACATTTGTACAAAGAGATTTTTATAAAAACTTTGTTTCGAAATTTCATTTTTTATTCCATTCAATCTGTATAAAAATCATGGCCTGTCATGCTGCTACAAGCATAGAAGATTCGTTTGTTTGAGTTATCAAAGGCTATTCATCTTGTTTATGCATGTTCTAATGGTAAAAATGAGCTTAGTAAATATTGTTTTATAATTCAAGCATACTACCATCACAAGATCCTGCATGATAAGCTGTGTAGGCCATGTTCTAATCAATTGCTGGTTCTTGTTTACTTGAATTTTTAAAGTTATAACACCAAAATAAAATGTTTATTTTTCTGGTAAAAATTTATCCATAATCGAACAGAAATTTTGATACAAATTGAGCATCTGAAGATAATTTAGTTAAATTGATTTAATGCTTGATTTTGCTCAGACAGATCCAATTGGAGATTGAACAAGGTCCAATTGACATGATAACTCTTTTATAAGATCCAATACTTCACATCGAGTATGCATACAACTACATAGCCCAAATAAGATGCTTAAAAGGCTCTGAATCAAATGAACCAACATGATAAGGGTAAGCTAGCCCCACTTAGCCGACTTCTTTCTTGCGTTTGAATGCAATGCATCACATGAGAGGAATATTGCGCGTGACAACCTTGTCGTCACGATTGGGTGGTCTCCCAATTAGCCCCCAGGCTTGTCTTGTTATGAGAAGCACGCTAGGTCTCTGATTGTGCCTTCTTGCTCTTGTTACTGTGTACTCTATTACAGTTGATTTAAACTTCTTGAAGCTATTGTGCCTTTGATGATCAACCATTTTGCCATCACAAAATGGTCCTTTTAGGGAGAACTATTGATTTCTGTAAAACTGATAGGACATTATTGCCTATTTTTCATAGCTGGTTTAGGAGGTTGTAAATTTTCTTATTATTCTTGATAGTCTCATGTCAAAACTTTGATTTTTCACCATTGAATCACCCGTTAGATTGTCTTATATATGTATTATATTCAAATTACTAATTGGACACATTGCCGATAATGTCCTCCATTAACTTGCTTCTAATGGAAATTCCACATAACCTTTTAGGCGGACTATGCTTTATGACTTGGCCGTTATTTATTACAGTTGTGAAAATATTTATGTTTTCAAACAAAAAAATGCCATTAAATTATTTCATATAAAGCCGTTGGAATCCTTCGCCTACATCTAATAAGTTCAATTCTAAAATCAAACTTGTATCTAGGCAAAAGAAAAATATAACACTCCAACCGATTGTTACTACTGCTCGACTAACTCCCTCTTCCTTTCCTATTGCCTCAAACACTTAGTCATTTGAGTTTAATTTGCCACTTCTGATTTTGAACTTAGGATTCATATTGAAATGATATGTTAAACATAAGGAGTTTTTTTTATGAAGTTTTCTTTACCTCTTTTATTTGAACTCTGATGTGATACAACATGCAATGGAAACAAGAACTGCTTGGGGATTTTAATATAAGATTTTAAAGCTTTGCTAGTTATAGAATTAATGTTTACCCAATTTAGATTTTCAGAATTATCAATTCGAAATTAAGTAAGGCATGCGGTTATAACTAGATTAATGGGACAATATCAACTTGACAACATAGAAATAAAGAGTAATGCTATAGGGAGAAACAATAATTCACAATTAACAAATAGAACTCTTCACCTTGGGTCTCTCACTCACTCTCTTGTTGGTGGCACTTTTAATGGAGGAAGATTGAGAGCAACCGAGCGATGCCACTAGGAGACAAATGGCGCACAAAAGCGTAGTCCGTTGGAGCAGTAACCAGTGGCGGGTAGTCCATGGGATGACTAGTGAGCATCCAACATCTTATCCTTTCTTCCTTGACGGCTATGGTGGGGGCTAAGAGGCAAATGCCGGAAATCTGAAATAAATTCAGATTTTAGTGATTTAGGAGAGGGATTTAATTTGAATTTCAAATTAATCCAAGGAGGGAGAGACGGGCGGCCATGGGGAGAAGATTTGGGCTGAATTTGTGGTGTTAATATGTCATTTGGAAGAGAGAGAGAGGCCCACTAAGAGTGGCCGGCCATATGAGGAGGAGACAGAGAGAGATTTAGGAGTTATGAGAGTGGGGCCCAAGTTTAAGTAAGAAATTCAATTAAATCTGAATTTTAATTTCAGATTTAATTGGGCTTAA